GGGGAGGGGAGGCGCTGGGAGACAAAGGACCTCAGGATTGGCACTGCTTCGGCTGCCATGCTGTTCGCCCCCCCAGGTCATGAGTGGTGCTGATTGTGACCACATGGCCTTGGCGGCCCCTTCCTCAGCCCATGCTGCCATCAGGCACCCTGGGAAGCTGACACTAGGCCACTCTCCTCTCCTCTCCTTAGGCACCGGGACTCTGTGGGGGAGCATCACACGCTGGGAAGAGTAGACCGCCAGCCTCAAGAGCCTCCTGAAGAGGAAGAAGAGCCAGCCCAGCCCTTCCTTCTCGTGCCTGAGCGAGTGCAGCAGCGTTTCCGTCGCCTTTGCCGTGCCCGCTCCTGGACTAGGACCGGACTTCCAGCAGGACTGCTCCCCAGGGGATGGGCAGCGGGTGAAGCGGGTCTCACTGCCGGGCCCCAGCAGGCCACATCATGAACCTCCAGGCCCAGCCCAAGGCTCAGGGCAAGCGGAAGCGTTGCCTCTTCTTCAGTGACCAGGAGTCGGCGTCCAAGGAGCAGCCCGCAGGCCCTCCACAGGCCGCCAGAGTGAAGGAGGAGCCATATTTTGGACACGAGGGTCCGTCCGGAGGCATCCCCACCTCCCAGCCAGTGGAGCTGCCCCCGCCCAACAGCCTGGCCCTGCTGAACTCCGTGGTGTATGGGACGGAGCACACCACAGCAGCTATGCTGTCCCAGCAGGTGGGCCCCATCACGTGGTCCAACCCTGTGATGGCCCCAGGGCGGGGGACCCCAGAGCGGGGCGGGGGAGTCAGTGACAGTGGCTGGCAGCAGCAGCCCGGCCAGCCTCCACCCCCCTCCACGTGGAGCCGCCACGGCCTTCCTCTCTACAGCGGACCCAAGGGGAACCCTCACGCCGGCGTGGGGCTCTCCACCTACTATAGCCACGCTGAGGCGCTGAAGCGCGAGAAAGTGGGGGCCCCGCAGCTGGACCGTTACAGGAACGCTGTGCAGCCGATGATGTCGCAGAAGGTGCAGCTGGAGGTGGGGCGACCCCAGGCCCCCCTGAACTCTTTCCATACGGCCAAGAAGCCCCCAAACCAGACACTGCCTCTGCAACCCTTCCAGCTGGCCTTTGGCCACCAGGTGAATCGGCAGGTCTTCCGGCAGGGTCCTCCGCCCCCCAACCCCGTTGCGGGGTACCCCCCGCAGCAGCAGCAGCAGCAGCAGCAGCAGGCCTCCCTGCCCCAGATGCAGCTCTTCGAGAACTTCTACCCCATGCAGCAACCGCCCTCCCAGCCCCCCCAGGACTTTGGCCTGCAGCCAGCCGGGCCCCTGGGGCAGTCCCACTTGGCTCACCACAGCCTGGCCTCGTACTCCTTCCCCCCGAACCCCGATATGAACCCAGAACTGCGCAAGGCCCTCCTGCAGGAGTCGGCACCCCAGTCTGTGCTACCTCAGGCCCAGATCGCCTTCCCCCGCCGCTCCCGCCGCCTCTCCAAGGAGGGCGTCCTGCCCCCCACTGCCCTGGATGGAGCTGGCACCCAGCCTGGGCAGGACCCCGCCAGCAGCCTGTTCCTACATCACTGGCCCCTGCAGCAGCAGCCCGCGGGCCCCCTGGGCCAGCCCCATCCTGAAGCCCTGGGGCTCCCGCTGGAGCTGAGGGAGTCACAGCTGCTGCCAGACGGAGAGAGACTGGCACCCAATGGTCGGGATCGGGAGGCCCCTTCCATGAGCACCGACGAGGCCATGCGGGCAATGGGCCCCGGGGACTATGGGCAGGTGCTACGCGGTGGGGTGATCCAGAGCACTCGACGTCGACGCCGGGCCTCCCAGGAAGCCAACTTGCTCACCCTGGCCCAGAAGGCGGTAGAGCTGGCCTCCATGCAGAACGCCAAGGTGAGGGACCGGGGTGGAGGCTGGGCTTCACAGGGCGGATGCTGCGGGGTGTCTGGGGGCAGGAAGAGGGCCAGAGATGCTAGACCCATGGGGCAGCTTTCTCAAGTCTGTGAAGGAAAGGCACCCATACAAGTCAGGGACTTCTGAATTCTTTGCAAAGGACTCTCTCTCCCTTAGGGCAGCAGTTCTCAACCTGTGGGTCTCGACCCCTTTGGGGATCGAATGAACTTTTCACAGGGGTCGCCCAATTCATCACAGTAGCAAAATGACAGTGATGAAGTAGCAATGAAAACAGTTTTATTGCTGCGGGGGCTGGAGGTCACCACCACATGAGGAACTACATTAAAGGGTCTCGGCATTAGGAAGGTTGAGAACCACTGCCTTAGAGAATTCTTCTGACCTGTGGAGCAGCTGAGGTTTCTATCTGTGAAGGCTCTTCGGCCAGAAAGTGGGCCAAACCTTTGAGGGTTGGCCTCCATCTGGGCCTTAAAGGACTAGGCAGAGGAGGGGGGGGGGTAGCCATTTCTGGATCTGACATGCTGAAAGACAAGAATGTGGAAGCAGTTACACAGGTGATTACATCAGAATGATTACAAACAGGTGCCGTTTGCTGTGTGTGAACTGTAGTGCTATGATTTTAATATATATACATATATGTATTTTAAGGAAAAGAATAGGATTTTTAAAATAGGCCATCATAAGCAGTCATCAAACCTTGTGGGGAAGGGGTGCTGTCATTTATCCTTGCTTTATAGCTCAAGACACTGAGACCCAAGTAGAATTTCCCAAGGTCACATGGCTAGGATAGAAGCCTAGTAGAGCCAATCCTGAAGCCAGTGTGTGCTCCCCCCCTCAACATGTCCACACCCTCAATGTCTGATGGGCCAGGCTGCTGTGGAGGCGGTGGCAGACTTTGCTCTAGCCAGTTGTCCACACGGGCACTAGATACCAAGACAGCCCTTCCCCCTGCAATGGGTTCCAGGTTTACATTCTGCAGCCAGGATGCGTGTTGGATATTAGGGTACGATTTGGTGTGCTAACCACGGTATGGGCCAAACACAATGAAAGGCTACTTGTGGCCCAAGGTCATGTAGGGTCTCCTGCCTCAGGCCATGTGGCTTAACAGTGAGGTTCTAGAGAGCGTTTGGGAATGCGGTGTCAGAGACGTGGCGAGCCATCGTGAGCATCCGGTCCCTGGGTTAAACAGACCAGCAAAGCAGGCCGTGCCCTTCTAGACCTCCCCTCCATTCCCTTTGCTCGTTCTTGCCCAGGAGACGAATGGCTCTGAGGAGAAGAGGAAAAGTGTGCTGACCTCAACTACCAAGTGTGGGGGGGCGTTTTCTGAGCCTTCTTTGGCCGCCAAGCGAGCCCGAGAGGACAGCGGGATGGCGCCCCTCATCATCCCAGTGTCTGTGCCTGTGCGGACTGTGGACCCAGCGGAGGCGGCCCAGGCCGGAGGGCTGGACGAGGACGGCCAGGGGCTGGAGCAGAACCCGTCCGAGCACAAGCCGTCCGTCATCGTCACCCGCAGGCGCGCCAACCGGATCCCCGGGACTGAGGCCCCAGCTCAGGTAGGAGAGGCCCCTGATCCAGACTCCTGCCGTCCCGGTGGGCTCCCACCGCAAGAGGAGCACGGGTGGGGGTGCAGGAGGGTTTCACTGCACCCGTGGGAATGCAGGTTTATCTTTTTAGACCAAACTTAGGGGAACATATTTATGGGGGATCGCTAAACAGCTTTACACTTGGGATGGGGGAATCTCAGATGTGTGCCTCCGCTTCATTTCAGATCAGCGGCGGCTGATTGGGGCCCTAACCTGGGATGTGGAGAGAGAATGTTGGTTTGCTGGGTGCTGAGTGGTTTGTTGAAAGCTTTGGTTTTGTCCATTTCTTTGATTTGTTCTGCAGTGTCTGTTGTGTGTCATGTGAGGCAATGTTGTTAGAAGAATGCTCACTTTGTTTGGATTAGACATTTTATCATTAGGGGTGTTGTAATGTCTAGTAATCTTTCACCTTTGAAAGTCCAATTCATCTGATATTCATGTAACAAACACTAAGCGAGTATTTTCATCTTTCTATTCTCAGCCTACTCTCTTTAGGGTGCATCTATCAAGTGGCTTATAGTGAAGGTTTCTTAGGATCCACTCTAACCATCTTTTCATGAGAGCATTGTAGTTTACCTTGAGTGTCATTACTGATTTACCCATTGTCTCCAATCCGGACTCTTCGAGCCTATAGGACAGAGTAGAACTTGCCTACAGGGTGCGCAGGGCACAGCCTTTTCCCTTGAAGTGGCTGGTGGTTTTCAACCACCAGCCCTTTGATTGGCAGCTGAGCACTTAGCCACTGAGCCACCAGGGATCATTAATTACTGTGATCCAGAAAACAAAAGACTACCACCAAGTTGATTTTGACTCATAGTAGCTCTCTATAGGGTTTCAGACCTTAGATCTATCTTTATAGGAGCAGACAGCCTTATCTTTCCCCTGAGGAGTGGCTGGTGGGCTTGAACCTTTGACCTTGTAGTTAGCAGCCCAGCCCTAGCCCACAGCATTCCTGTGGACTGTTTGGGCTTGTTTCTTTGTTTCCTCCACATACTTGTAATGCTTTTCTATGGCTTCCCTGTCAGCCTTTCTTACCCTGCTTTCTGGGAGAGAGCTGGTGCCTACAGAAGGCAATCTGAGTGACTATTTTCTCAGTTCTCCCAAAGTTGGTGCATGCATGCCGTTCTTTTTGTTAGATGCCATCTAGTTGGCTCTGACTCGTAGCACAACAGACTGAAACACTGAATGGTCCTGCAGTGTTCCCATGCCTGAGCCCATTGATGCAGCCACTGTGCCAAACCATCTTGTTGAGCCCCTTCCTCTTTTTCTACACCCTTTCTTTCACTTTACCGCACATGATGACCTTTTCCAGGGACTGGTCTCTTCTGACAATGTATCAAAAAAATGTAAGGTGAAGTCTTGCCATCCTTGTCTCTAAGGAGCACTCTAGCTTTACTTCTTCCAAGACAGATCTGTTTGTCCTTTAATCAGTCCATGGTACTTTCAATGTTCTTCTCCAGCACCACACTTCAAATGCATCCATTCTTCTGTGATTGTCCTTATTCAATGTCTGTGGGAGCCAGCCCACAACCAAATGGGTCCTAAGGGCTGGTTGTGTAATTGAGGGAAAGATATAAAGAGACATGCAAAAGTTTGGGGGTGCTCACCTCCTCCATGTAGCCAGGTCTGAATGGGAGAGGGAGAGAGAATGCATTCTTTCACCAACTTACATACAGTCTCGGGGAGTGTAAGCACCCCCAACCACAGACATTATCTTAACACTAGAGGTCCCTGAGCTCATTGGGGAAGTAAAGTAACACCAGTGCTGAGGGCAGGTAAAGGGGACTGACTGTCCCTGAGCAGGAAGAACAATAGCAACATGTCTGTTCCTAAAGATAAAGCCCCGGCCGGCTGGATAGTAACTGGCTGTGTGCTTGGAAGAGGGATCATTAGGCAGCACAATATGGGACGGTATTGTGGGGAGGATTGTTAATAAGGAGAACGTGACTGGGACTTGGTTCTCCAACTCACAAACATGAAGCCCTCTTTCCACCCAGAATCCTGGCCTCTCAGGCTTCTTTAATCACGAGTATAGAGAATTTGTCTCTTCCCGGTCCTCAGTTTCCCACAAATGTCCAACTTTCACATGCATATGACCCAACGGAGAATACCATGGCTTGGGTTTGGTGTCCCTTAGTCCTCAAAAAGGACCCAAACATCCTTGCTCTTCAGTATGCTAAAGAGGTCTTATCCAGCAGATTTACCTGATGCAAGACAGTTTTTGATCTTTTGACTGCTGCTTCCATGAGCATTGATTGTGGATCCAAGTAAGACAAAATCCCAAACTCTTGATAACTTTAACCTTTTCTCCACTTATAATGATGTTACCTTTTGGCCCAGATGTGAAGATTTGGGTCTTCCGTACATTGAGTTGTATTCCATACTTAAGGCTACAATCTTTGATCTTCATTAGCAAGTGCTTCAATTTCTCCTCACTTTCAGCAAGCAAGGTTGTGTCATCTGCATACCGCAGGTTGGTAACAAGCCTTCCTCCAATCCTGATGCCGCATCCTTTCTCATATAATCCAGTTTCTCTGATGATTTGCTCAGCATATAGATTGAACTTGTTCTGTTTGCACAACTGCCTTTTGATCCAAGTACAAGTTCCGAATGAGCACAATGAAGTGTTCCGAAATTCCCATTCTTCTCCAGGTTATCCACAGTTTATTATGGTCCACACAATTGAATGCCTTTGCATAGTCAATGAAACACAAGTAAATATCTTTCTGGTATTCTCTGCTTTGAGCCAAGATCCATCTGACATCAGCAATGATATCCAACCTCTTCTGAATCTGGCCTGAACTTCTGGCAGTTCTCTGTCAGCGCACCACTGCAACTGTTGTTAAGCAAAAGTTTACTTGTGTGCAATATCATTGACATCATTCTATAGTTTGAGCGTTCTGTTGAGTCACCTTCCTTTGAAATGGGCATAAATATAGATCTCTGTCTTCCTAGCATAGACCTGTGAGTGCTTCCAGTGTTTCTTCAGCTTTCAGCAACATTTCAGTGGCTATTCATCAATTCCTGGAGCCTTGCTTTTGGCTAATGTTTGAACTTGTTCCTTCAACACCATTGGTTCTTGTTCACATGCTACCTCCTGAAATGGTGGGCTGTTGACTAGTTCTTTCTGATACAGTGACCCTGTGTTTTCTTTCCATCTTCTCTTGATGCTTCCTGTATCATTCAATTTTTTGCCTATAGAATATTTCAAAATTGCAATTTAAGGATTGAATTTTTTCTTGTGCTCTTTCCATTTCAGTATGCTGAGCATGTTCTATTTTGGTTTTCTGGGTCCTTGCACATTTTTGGGTAATATTTGGCTTTGTCTTCTCAAGCTGCCCTTTGAAATTTTTTATTCGGCTCCTTGACTTCATTCTTCCTTCCATTTGCTTTAGCGACTGTGATGAAGAGTGAGTTTCAGAGTCTCTTCTGACATCCACTTGATCTTTTCTTTCTTTCCTGTCTTCTTCGTGATCTTTTGCTTTCTTCATGAATGATGGTCCTGGTGTCCTTCCACGGCGCCTCAGATCTTCGGTCATCAGAGTTCAATGTGTCAACTCTGCTCTTGAGAGGTTCTCGAGATTCAGGTGGGATAGACTGAAGGTCGGATTCTGGCTCCTGCGGACTTGTTTTCATTTTCTGCAGCTTTATCTTGAACGTACATAGGAGCAGTTGATGGTCCGTTCCACTGTTGGGTCCTGGTCTGGCTACAGCTGCTGCTATTGAGCGTCTCTATCGTGTCATCCCACAGATTTGAATTCTGTGTATTCCATCTGGGAAGCCCATGAGTATAGTTGCCTGTTGTGTTGTTGAAAACAGGTATTTGCTGTGAACAAATTGGTGGCTTTGCAAAATTCTGTCATGCGATCTCCAGCTTCATTTCTATCACCAAGTCTATATTTTCCAGCTACTCTCTCTTTCCTCTTTGTTTCCAACTTTGGCATTCCAATCACCAATGACTGTCAGTGCATCTGGATCGCACATTTGATCACTTTCCCACTGAAGTCGTCAGTTTGCTGTGCTATGGTGGCTTATATGTTGCTATGATGCTGGAAGCTATATCTCTGGTACTTCAAATGCCAGCAGGGTCACCCACAGTGAACAGGGTTCAGCAGAGCTTCAGACTAAGAACAGACAACAAATAAGGACTTGGCTCCCCACTTCAGAGGAAGAAGCCGCTGAAAACCTTATGGATGGCTTCAAAGCACTGTCAAATACTGCAAGACTAAACAAAGGAAGCAGGGCATCATGGGAGATACTGCTGGCAGATGGGCCCTTAGGGCTGAGGGCCCTCAAAACATGACTGAAGAGGAGCTGATTTCATGGTGACGTGAGTCCAGTACAGCCCATGGGAGTGGAACCTTCAGGGTCTTCATTTGCTGATGGGGCACCCCTCAAGGTCAAGCGAAACCACGCAAAACTCTTCTAATGATTGGAACTTGGAATGTGTGAAGTATGAATTTAGGAAAATTGGAAATGGTCAAAAATGAAATGGAACACAGGAAGATCAATACCCTAGGCATTAGTGAGCTGAAATGGACAGGTATTGGCCATTTTGAATCAGAAAATCTTATGATTTACTGTGTGGAGAATCACACAATCCAGAGGAATGGCGTGGGCTTCCTTGTTAGAAAGGATCTTGCTAGATCCTTCAGGAAGTACAGTGCTTTCTGTGATCAGATTATATCTACTGTCTTCAAGGAAATCCAGTCAATACAACTATTACTCAAATTTGTGCCCCAACCACAAAAGCTAGTGATGCAGAAATTGAAGAAAGAAGATGTCCCTGGCTAGCGCCATTCCAGCTGTGGAGAGAAGTTAACTCCTTGTGTACAGGAATGCCTGAGGGCATCAGGGCTTTTAAGTAGTTGAAAAAAAGTGCCTGGAGGTGAAAACATGCATCTTTGGTTTATTGAAATCAAATCACTTTCCCTCTTTGGAGACAATGCAAGTTGTAAAGACACTCTAATTCTCTTTCTCACTTACCCCCCCCCCCCAACTTAGGGAATTCCTGACTTGCATTTTCATTCTCTCTCTAGTTGGACATCAGACGAGTGTTATTTTATTCAGTTGCGGATCATTGTATGTCCGTGCAAATGTGCTTTGGAGTGTTGGTCTCCAAGCATTCCTCTGGGATCATGTATGTGCCTCTAGAACATCCTGAGTCTTTCCTCTGTGTGACTCAGTAGTGATGTCATCTTTCCTTCTGTGTGACTCATCTTTGATTGTCTGGAAATGTTTTCATGGCACCTGCAGTTTCGCAGGATCATTTTTTCTGGGTGGAGAATTTGAACTTGGCAGTTCTTCTGATACTTTAAATAGAGCATTTCCCTGTCTTCGGGCTTCTCTTACTCGTTCCTGCAACATAGAAACCACTGAGCCCTGTAATGTCTCTTATCTTGATACTTTGACGTTTACAGCAGTTGTACTATGGTAAACCTAATACCATACCACATTATGATATGCTTTCTTTGTATTATCTTATTTGGAACCTGGAGTGTTTTTTGAATACTGTGTCTGTCCCGTTTTCTATCTTTTCTCCTTCTGGGACTCCAGTTTAACCTTTGCTACAATTTATCACCTCTCACGTGCTGCCATTGGGTCAGGGCAGACTCATCATGACCCTAGAGGAAAGGGTAGGGCTACCTCTGTGGTTACGGAGACTCTAACTCTTTACAGGAGTAGGAAGCCCAGTCTTTCCCCATAGTCCCTATTTGTTGTCTATTATGTGGGGTTTTATATTCTCCATTTTACCCACCCACCCCCAGTCCAATTAGTCTTTTAGTTCACTAATTCTGTATCTAGCTATGTCTGTTCTGCTGTTCAGTCCACTCATTGAGCTCTTATTTGCAGTTACAGTTTCAATGACAGTATTGTCGCCTGATTCATTTTTAGACTTTCTAGGTCTTTGATGAAATTCTCCCTTTTACTTCATTTTAAGCATAGTTTCTTTCTAGGTTCAATGTGATCCTTCCATTTGTGGCAGCCCCTCACAGATTTACTGTGTTTATGAGGGGGCTTCGAGAAGTGTGTGGAAAACATCTCATGACCTTTTAACTCCTTTTTTTTTTTTTTTTTGCAATCTGTTTAAAGTTCCTGCTATATTTCCCTTACCTCTTGTTTTTAAATGTGTATCTTGCTGTTGTGTGCGCCTTTTTAAAACGTGAGTACCAGACATTAGATGTACTAGATAACCAAAAACTCATCTAGGTGTTTAAAGACCAGATGATGATTTCCACTTCTAGAGAGGATTTACCTTTGCTTCACTGGGTAGCGGCTGAATCACTTTAATCAGATTAAGATGATTTGAAGCTGAATTTCCTTCCATGCAAGGCCTAGTCTATTTCTGATTCACCTTCATCTGAGGGTAGAGTCCTTTGGTGTCCCGGTCCCAAACCCAGCAAGCCTTCCTGGACAAGCCAGTGTTTATGCTGCTGACTCCTGAATTGGTGAAAAATCTCCGCTCAGTTCTTTAGCTTCTCCCATTGCCTCTGCTCCTGCTGGCAGCTGCCTCTAGGGCAAACATGGCATTGGTGCCAGGCTCGCCTCGTTGAATTGCCTCTTTTCTTGGATCTCGGCTCTTTAATTCTTTTCCAACTTAGTTGCTGTCTGATACCTTCAGAAATGTGGTGTTTTGTTTTTTTAATGTTTTACCTAGCTTTTCTATCTGTCCTCAGCTGCAAGTTTGGCCTCCTTACTCGTAAGGGGGGCTCCAAGAGCTGTCGTGAGCGGCACAGTTTCTGTCCTCTGGTTGGAGAAACCAGAGAGGTTTGTGCTGGAGGCTGGTGGCAGGGCCAGCTTGTCCTGAGAGTGGGCAGGAAGGAGCCTTAGCAACCACAGAAATGAATGCCAGTGTTTCACAGATGAGGAAACGGGTCTGGAGAAGGCAGGAGACCTACTTTGGGCCAAACAGCCAAGTCATGGTGTGGTGCAGCTGGCCCTAGAACTTGGATTTTAAGCCTGTGAGCTTTAAGCTTCGCTTTCTACAAGTGTCCTTGTGGGGCTTCCATGAATGGCCAGCAACCCCTGTGAGCCTAGGAGGGACTTTTCGAGAATTTCCTGGAAAAATCTCATTTTCTTTTCATTCCATTTTTCCCAGCTTACTTGCTCTCTGATACCTTCAGAAATGTGCTCTTTAATTGTGTCATCTGGCCTTTCTAGCTCTTCTCAGCTGGAGATTTGGCCTCCTTAACAGGCTTCTTCTTCAGAGACAGAAGTAGAGAGCACTGTAAATGAGCCCTCCAGGATTTACCTGTTGCTGGTGTCGCACCACACAGCCGGTCCTGTTTCCTCTTTACCTCTCCCCCTCCTGGGTGGTTTGGAAGGCAATCCCAAACAATGTATCCTTTTTATCCATGAATTCTTCAGTTTGCATCTGAAGAACACACACAAGGATATATATATATATACATATTTTTTCACAAGATCATAATCATACCCCAGCATTAATGATAATTTCATAATGTCATCAAATATTCAAGTTTATATCCCCTTTCCCTTATTATTGAAATATAAATTATTATGGCTAGCTGAGTGTATCTTAGCTTTCCTATCTAACCAGTTTGGGGACCTTTGGATCCATTGCATTTTTCTGTGTTATCATATTATTCCCCTAAAGGCTGGAGAATGAATGATTTCAATTCTTTCTAGTTTTACAAGGGAAGAGAGCACACACATGGGTAGAAGCCAGGGCAAAAGGCCTCATGGCAGTTGGGGCCCTCCCCTGGAAGGCCCTGTGAGATTTGGGGTCCTCCCTGGAGGCTCTGTGGGGTACAGAGTCCATTGTTCCCTGTCTGCTCAGCTCACCTGTTGGCAGATTGCAGCCCGAGACATAGCCTGGGTGCTGCTGACCTGGTAGGGCTCTCTGTTGAGAGGCATGAAAGGCTCCTCTGGCTTCACAGCCCTGTCTCCCACTCTGCACGGAGGTCCACGGAGCACACCAGCAGAAGGAGAAGGCTGCGTCAGGGAGACTAACTCTTAACTGGATGAGTGGGCTAGCCTCGGCCTAATCCTATGGGTACAAAAGTTCTGTGAATGAGGGCAGAACTCTTCATTTCATTGTCCTGCACCCAGCTCAGGTCTTGGCACCCAGGAGGGGCTTCCCTCTAATGCAGGGCCGACGCTTCAGTGAGACCGGCCAGTATTTATTGCGGAATCCCATGACGGGGTCCTGTTCCTAGCTTTTCCTACATCGTCATTTCCTTTAGTTCTCACAACTTTCTCAATAGGGTAACAAAAAACCAAACCCACTGCCCTCCAGTTAGTGCCCACTCAGGACAACCCTGTGGCGGAGGCCAGGGCAGAGCAGAACTCCCAGGGTTTGCTTGGCTATGATCTTTATGGAAGCAGATCGCCAGGCCTCTCTTCCTTGACTTCCCTTGGAGGGTTTGAACTGCCACGCTTGATCTCGAAGTCGAGGGGAAGGCCCCAGTACCATCCAGAGACTATCCCATATTAGAAACAATGATACCCCCGAGAGGCTGAGTCATTAAAGAGATCATGACGGCGGTTCAGCGTCCGAGCCTGGGCCCTAACCGCTGCATTCTCCTTTCCCAAGAGCTTCCCTTTCTGTCAGCACTGGAGCTGGGCCCTGTGGGCCAAATCCAGAGCCTGGAGAATGATTTTTACATTTTCAAAGATCTAGATGCTAAGAACAAAAACAGGGGACATGAAACAGAGACCACACGTGGTCCACAAAGCCTAAGCTATTAACGATTAGTCTCTACAGAGAAAGTTTGTCAACCTCTGCTCTAAAATAGCAAACAACAAGGCCATTCAGTCGATTCTGCCTCTATAGCCTTATTGAGTCAGGGACCCTGTAGGGCTGGGGGCCCTGGTGGCGCTGTGGGGTGAGTGCAAACCCCTCATCCCCTCCCTTCAAGGGCAAAGCCTCCTTGGCCGCTGTAAAGATTTAGAGCCTCTGAAGCCATTACATCGGAATCAACTTGATGATTTTTAATCTTTACGGAAGCAGGGTGTCACATCCTTCCTCCACGGAGTCAGCTCGTGGGGTTGAACCTGTGGCCTTTCGATGAGCAGCCAGGCACTAAGCCACTGCCATACTTGGGTTTCTCCCTCTGCCTAGAGGGGACCGACCATTAGAAAGGTCTTTTACACAAGCTCCCTTACTCAGGCTTGCCTTGCTGGGTGTAATGGGCCACCAAGCTCTGAAGGGGAAACCTGCAAGTGGGGGCTGAGCCGTCTCTACTCGGTGTCTCTCTCCAGGCTGAGGACATGATTGCCAAGGTGGAGGGGGAGCAGCCTGCCGTGCGGAAACCGAAGCAGCGGCCGAGGCCCGAGCCCCTGATCATCCCCACCAAGGCGGGCACCTTCATCGCCCCACCTGTCTACTCCAACATCACGCCGTACCAGAGCCACCTGCGCTCGCCTGTCCGTCTGGCTGATCACCCGTCGGAGCGGAGCTTTGAGCTGCCCCCTTACACACCGCCACCCATCCTCAGCCCCGTGCGGGAAGGCTCCGGCCTCTACTTCAATGCCATCATGTCAACCAGCACCATCCCCGCCCCTCCTCCCATCACGCCGAAGAGTGCCCACCGGACCTTGCTCCGCTCTAGTGAGTGACATCGCCCACGCCCCCGGGACGGTTGGGAATCAATCCATGTAGGGGAAGAGGCGTGTGGGCACGGAGGGGCCCAGAGCAGACATTTTGGAAACACGAGGCCGGCCTGGGTGGTGGTGTGCCGAGAATGTCGCTTCCTCGAGCTCCACGGGGCTTCACAGACGATCCGGGGCTGGTGGCGAAGAGGAAGGGGCGTAAACAGCCGCCCCGCAGCCGCACGTGGGTGTGGCCGCCCCAACACGGGTTTAAGTAAGCTGCGCGCTGGCGCCGACGGCCTAGCTCGCTGGTGCCCCCCGGCGTCTGTGGGCGGAAGAGCGAGCTACGTCCATCTGCCCGCGAGCGCTCCGCGACTGTGTGGGGCTCCAAGGCCTGCCCTTAAGAGAGAGCAGGGTCACTAGGAGTCCTTGTGAAAATCTGGGAGACAAAGCAGAGGACCTGGGCAGCCAGGGAGGGAGGCCGACGAGGTCCCAGTCTGCAGAGACTTTGCCCCCGGGTGGTATGGAAGGGATTGTGTAGGAGGTGGGGCCAGGGTTGAGCTTGAACTCCGGTGAGTGGGGGCTGGGAAGGCATGGGAGGTATAGGAGCAACGAAGCCTTGGGAGTGGGTCCGCAGGGACAATGAGGAGCTGCGAGGGAACAAGCTGGAGGGTCCAGGCAAGAAGGTGAGGGGAAGGGAGGACGGGGCTGCACCCGTGGGAGCCCGGAAGGCCCCACCGGAGAGTTCAGGCTTTATCCCACCCTGCAGGGGTGACACCTCGGCAAACTTTTCCACCCGCCCTTTTTTGAGCAAGGGAGTGTCTTGATCCTGTGGAGCATTGAGGCCCATCTGTTCAGGAGAAACAGGCAGAGAATTCAGAAAGGACGCGAGGAGTTGATTTTGCAACAGTTGACACCACTTGGCTAGAATGGAGTCAGTCCTTTGGTAGAACTAACAATATCGGCCCTGTTATTGTTACTGTTACAAGTGGTAACAACTTATTCAGAAAAACGACAAACAAAAAGCAAACCGCAGCAACAATATCTAGTGCATTATTCCATTCAGTCCCCCAGTTAATGCTAGGAGCTAGATTTTAGTCATCCCTATTTACAGATGAGAAAACAGAGGTGCCAGAGATATTTAGCCGAGTGCCTGCCATGTCACACTGAGCAGGCTGCAGAGCTGGGTGGAGAGAGGGCCTGCTTTCTGCGACTGAACCTCTGTGCTCGCCACCCTGACTCATCCACAACCTGGGTGGGGGCGGGGCGGGGTGAGGGTGCCATTTACCAATCTGTTCTTTGCCCCATAGATAGTGCTGAGGTCACCCCGCCTGTCCTCTCTGTGATGGGGGAGGCCACCCCAGTCAGCATTGAACCGTAAGTGCAGTCCTGGGGTGAGGGTGGCCTGGTGGGGTCCATGCATGCAGGTGGGGCCTTGAGAGCAAGTGGAGGACTCTGGGGGTCTCCCAAAGGGCTGAGCTGGGCATCTGCAACCTTCCCTGGGTTTCTCCTCTTCCTGCTCCTGCTTCTGTATAGAAGTTGCAGGAAAAAGAAAGGATCGGTCTGGATTTGCATCTGAGGAAAATGGGACAGGATCAGCCCAGAGACTCCCAGTCTGCCACTCTGGAGCTTTCCTTCCTTTGCCAGCCCCCATGCTCTGCTGTCCCCAGGCACCCCCAGCGGATCATCCTGACTGTCCCCGGAAGTCAGCTTCCCGTACCTCAAGCAGAGGCCTTGCCCCTGTCCACCACCTCGCTTGTCCCCAGTGAGAAAGGCCACCTCCTCCCTAGAGTGAGGCCTCACTCCCTGCCTTCGCACCCCTGCAGGCGGATCAACGTGGGCTCCCGATTCCAAGCGGAAATCCCTGCCCTGAGGGATCGCTCCCTGGCAGCTGCAGACCCCCACAAGGCCGACTTGGTATGGCATCCATGGGAGAACCTGGAGAGCAGCTGGGAGAAGCAGAGGCAAGGTAAGGAGGGGCCCCTGGGAGGCAGGCAGGTGGACGGGGGCCAGGCCCAGCCCAGCCCTGGAGTGACTTCCTTTTCTCTCTCCAAATGGCTCCAGTGGAAGACTTGCTCACAGCTGCCTGCTCCAGCATTTTCCCCGGAGCTGGCACCAACCAGGAGCTGGCCCTGCACTATCTGCACGAGTCCAGGGGAGACATCCTGGTGAGAACGGTGCCCGCTGAGGGGAGGGACCCTCGGGGAAGCCTGCATGGACCCTGCTGGCATGGCATGCTGGTTTCAAGTGGGCCCCGAGTCTGGCCAAGGGAAGGCTGTAAGACTCTTCTGCCCACCCTGGTCCTCGGTTCCTGGTCATGGCGGGCTTTCTGTCCTGGGTTGCCTGACTTGGGTCTACTCTCTCCAGCAGCCCCCAGCCCTGATCTAGAGCAAGCCTACCCTTTACTACCTCCCCACCCTGTCAAGCCCTTTGGAGAGACCCTGTGGATTTTGCTCCGATCCGAGATGCTTGGTCCACCTCGGAGACCTGACCTTTCCCTCTCTTCTCTGGTAGGAAACGCTGAATAAGCTACTACTGACGAAGCCCCTGAGGCCCCACCACCACCCACTGGCAACTTATCACTACACAGGTAGGCCTGGGTCGGGTGGCAGGGCCCTGGGTCTCTGGACTCATCAGGGTCAGTGAGACCCTGTTTTCATGTCTCTGGGTTGTGGTGAGGGAATGGAACCGACTAAGCAGGGAGTGAAAGGCCTAACATCAAAGCAAGGGTTAGCTCTCAGGGACTCCCTGGGGCCTGGAGGAAGAGGGTAGATACATGGGGTCCCAAGAAGATGAGGGAGTCTCATGCAAACCAGCATCAGGTGTCAGAAGGACGCTTGAGACCAGGCAGTGTTGCCTTGTGTTGTACGTCTGATCCCCTTCTGGACACTGCACTTTCCGAGGGACATTGACCAAGTGCTTAGCAGGAGGGTCGCGTGAATGCTCTTCTTTCTTCCTCAACACCGCTGGGGAGGTGGGCTCTCTGATTAGTTCCCTTTCACGAGCCAGGAGTCTGAGGCTCACAGGCTCAGGCACATGGCTGGTAAGTAGCAAAGTGGGGTAGGGGGCGGCCCTAGATGCCCACCCACAGAGGCTGTGATGGGTGCTCTTGCAGTCTTGACAGCTGCTCAGCCTTGCCCCCGACCCTACCCACCTCACCTGCCGGTCCCTCTTTGCTTTTCAGGCTCTGACCAGTGGAAGATGGCCGAGCGGAAGCTGTTCAACAAGGGCATTGCCATCTACAAGAAGGATTTCTTCATGGTGCAGAAGCTGGTGAGCTGGGTCTCGGTTTCAGTCACTAGGGAGAGGACGTTGGGCTTGCTCTGCCAGTGCTGGCCCAGCAGTTGCTTCCCAAACTCCCTCTGTGTGACAGACAGGCTTCCCTCCCATCGTCAGTTCCAAGCTCCCTCATCCCACCTTAGGGAGGTATGCCCTTCTTGGAGGTATTACATCAGAGGGAGGCCCCAGCGGGCATCAGACCCAGCAGCACCCAACTTAAAGTAGGCAAAGAGGGCCGAGAGGGCAGGTGGCCAAGATGAGTCATTCCCCAAAGGGCCAGAGCAGTCAAAGGCCACAGTTAACATGTGGGGAGGGGAGATCACACTAGGATGAGTGAAACAGCGAGCCAGCTACACTGTCTGTGTAACTAACCTGGGAGCCTTCTGCCCACTTCCTGTTGCACCCAGGCCTGCTGAGAGATTCCTTGTTGGCTTCCATTCCTTCCCCAAACGGACAGCTGACCATTTCTCTTTCCTTGCTCGTCAGTCATACTCCCTGGAAAGGAGTGATTACCAGAGGGAACCCAGTGTTTCTGAAATTCTCCCCACATTCTCTTTACAAAAGTAGAGTGCTTTTCTCATCCAAGGACGTTCCAGCTGTCCTCCTATGTGGAGAAGGAGTCTTGCAGACTGCTGAGAGAAAACAGTTTTCAGAAATGTACTGTCTCCTCCTGGGGTTGTAGATTGTGTCAAGGAGGGCTCCAGGAACTAGACACAGTGCTGATGAATTCCCCTACAAGTACAGTTGTTCAGAAGTACAGTCGTTTGTTGTGTGTCAGTAATCCCCTATTCCCTGATTGGGTGGTGTGCCTATAAAATTCACCAAGGTGCCCCTATGCTTTAATGAAAAGCGTAGACCATCAGTCAAACACATGATCACAGAGGATTGATAGTAAAAGTGTAACCAGGATCTAATTAATGTGTGGCATGGCCATTCCTGTGAGATGAAACATGTCTGTTTTCTCCTCACAAACAATCCTCACTGATCTCAGGCTCTCTGGACAGGACATGTCTATTTCCAAGGGCAGCCCAGTAGTGCCTGGCCAGACTGGGGGCCTTCGTGGAAGGGGGAGGGTGTTACAGAAAACAGCTTCTGTTTGTGGGGGACTGTTCCAAAGCAGAACCTGTGGTCTAGGGGGTTTGTGAAATGAGAGCGACAGGATTTCAGAGCCTGGGAGGCCCTGGGAGGGCATGCAGAGCCACCCCATTCACCATTTGCATGCCAAGAAACTGCATTGAGAAGGTGAATGACCCACCTAAGGCCACACAGCCATCTAGGGGCAGAGTCAGGAGCAGACTTGGGTCTGCTGCCTGCTGCCTTCAGGTTTTTCAGGGGTTTCTTGTTAGTTTCCTTCCCACTCCTTTCCCCACATAGGACAGCATAGCACTTCTCTATCGTCACGTGTCCATCCCCACTCCCTGGAAAGGAAGGACACCTTCTGTGTAGGTTGAGGGAAAGGATCTGTTTTTCCAGGTTGGGGCTGTCTTTGATTGTGGATGGTGCCCAAACGTCTGCCCTTTAATTTTTTTCCTTTGGAAAAAGTTCAACCTTACAGCAAACTCGAAAGAATGGTACACTGGACACGGATTTAACCCCTACTTAGTCTGACCAAATGATAACGTTTATCATGTTGCTTTCTCTCTTCCATCTCGCTACATATACTCAACTGTTCTCTCTGCCCTTTTTGGCTGTTCAATAAAAGTAACTTACAGCCATTATGATGCTTAACCTTAAAGACTTCAATATGTTTTTTTTAAAGACATAGATTCTCAAACTTATTTGGCCGGCTGCCCCCTTTGCAAGAAAAATTACTCAACCCTCCCCACCCCTCACCCCACCCCTGGCCATTAAAAATGTTTGTACTCTAGCCTATAGTGGAGGGTAAAGGGTAGGTATTGGTTTTTACATCCCCTCTTAGATCATCGTAGTGCCAGGGTGGCATCACTCACTTTGGGGAACACTGTTTACAAGAACAAGGTTATTCTACAAGACCACAGTACCATTATCACACTTCAACGGATAACAGGAGTGTTTATCTGATGTGCAGTTTAGGTTCATGTCTTATTGGCCAGTCCAGGGTTGTTTGTTGCAGCATGCTTGGAGCCTCGGTGGCATGGTGGTTCTCAGTTCCAAAGGTGGGCTGTTCAAACCCACCAATCCATTCTGTGAGGAACACAGGTGACATACAGACTAAAATTCGGAAACCTTGTAGCAAAGTCCCGCTCTCTCTCTCGCAGGGTCAGTACACGTTAGAGCTGACTCCATGACCGTGTGGGGGCTTGTGGTGGAGCTGAAACTGGAGGAATGCTTACATTTCCCTAGACACGCTGTGTTCACCTCTCGGCCTGACCTTGAGAGAAGATGAGAGTGTCCTGAGGCAGGTGAGCTGAGAGAAAGGACTCTGACCACAATTTTGGCTTAAAACTAGATCGAGACCAAGACTGTGGCCCAGTGCGTGGAGTTCTACTATACCTACAAGAAGCAGGTGAAAATCGGCCGCAATGGGACGCTGACCTTCGGGGATGTGGATACAAGCGATGAGAAGTCAGCCCAGGAGGATGTTGAAGTGGACATTAAGGTGACTCCCTTCCTAGTCTCTGCTACTTAGTGCCCGAGTGGGGTCTAGTCTGGAGAGCAGAAGGGAGGTAGTGTAGTGTCCCTGTTGTCTAGTAGTACACTGTGTTGATGCAGAACATCGAGGAATACCCCCAGTATTTGCGTTCGTATCAATTTACTGTCTCTCATCGAAGCCCTCTGACACCATTCTTGAGACTTTGGCCTTCACCTTTGTCAATGTTACTGCTGCTGCATCCTGTTGCTTGTCACCAACACTGCTTTTTGCTTTGTTCACTGTCATACCTATCTATAATAGTCAGTGTTGCTTACTATGAATAGAGAGTACTGGTATAAAAACAAACACAAAAACCTATATGACAACGAAACCGTGCTGGTACATTCGAGTGGGCTGCTATTCCCTGCCAAGGCTCTGGTGCTGCAGCCTGCCCTCCCTTTGTTGGAGGGAAAGATTATTACGGACGAAGACTTTGTCCTTGACCAAGTTAGGAGGCCTTAGAGAACGAAAGGACAGTGTTACTCTGTGTCCGTGTCTCTGGGCTTGACAGAGAGAAGTTTAGGTTCCATTTGAGTATGAGGAGGAGGTTGAGGTGCAGAAAGTGTTACTACTAAGAGAGTATGGAATTGGAGCTCTTGAGAGTCCAGGAGGAGAGTGACTTGTGGGGGGACTGGCTCGTGCCCTCTCTGTCCCCTGGCCTTCCCCCAAGGGCTCGGTTCCTTTATGAGGACACTCGGGGCTCAAGCCTTCCTCTTATGCCCATGTAGACTAGCTTTGGGCACCTGTGTTGCCAGAAGGCTAAGCTGAGCCAGACCAGGTGAGCTGGCCTGAGCACCTGGCCGATGACTCCCTGCCTTCTTTCTTGTCCATTCGTATCCCCCGCCCCCCCCCCCCACCTAGACTTCCCAGAAGTTCCCAAGGGTGCCTCCTCCCAGAAGAGAGTCCCCAGGTGAAGAGAGGCTGGAGCCCAAGAGGGAGGTGAAGGAGACCAGGAAGGAGGGGGAGGAATTGATGCCTGAGATCCAGGAGAAGGGGGAGCAGGAAGAGGGGAGAGAGCGGAGCCGGAGGGCTGCGGCCGTCAAAGCCACCCAGACACTACAGGCCAATGAGTCGGTAAGTGTGACGCTACCCAGAGCGCCCGGGGGCTGGTGTGTGTGTGTGTGTGTGTGTGTGTGTGTGTGTGTGTGACACATGCTTACAGAAGCGGCCACCCATCACCTCTAAACACACATGTGCACCTTTCTGCGCCCTGGCTGTGTTCCTGCTCCAAGAGCTTTGCCCTCCGAGAGAGCTGGCACAGTGCACAGCCACAGCCCAGGGCCCTTGGGGCTTCCCCATGCTGAGGCCCAGCTCCAGCCCCAGCCCCAGCCCCAGCTCCACTCCTGCTCCAGGCGTCTGCTCCAGGCGTCTGCTCCGCATTTCCCACACTGCGAGCTCACCAGCTACCTGCCTGCCGGTCCATCCCTCTACCTGGGTGTCACTGAGGGCAGGGCTTTCTGTCTGTCAGCTCTCTGTCCCGAACACCAGCCACATGGCCACATCCCACAGACCCAAGCCTCCAGGGGACTGGGGACCCGAACACAAGCTCCGTTTACTTGAGACACAGGGTCCCCAGTCAGACTCGTTGAGAGGGCCCTGTAACATCGAAGGCCATCCCACTGAATGACCGCCCTGACGGCGCTGCCCAAGGACAGCAGAAGCTCCGTGGCTGTCAGCGGCCTTGGAGGGCCCCCTTGACACGTCCTTCTTTGATCCCCCGCAGGCCAATGACATCCTCATCCTGCGGAGCCACGAGCCCAACGCCCCCGGCTCGGCGGCCGGCCAGGCCTTGGAGAAGCCCAGGGAGGGGCCAGGAAAGTCACGGAGGGCACTGTCGTTCTCGGAGAAGAAGAAGAAAGTGGAGACGTTTAATAAGACCCAGAACCAGGAGAACACGTTCCCCTGTAAAAAGTGCGGCAGGTAAGATGGCAGGCCTTCGTCTCCCCCGCACCTCGCCCTCCTGCTGACCGGCGGCCGGAGGCCGGTTCGGGGGCGCCCCGAGCTGGGCTGCGCGTTCTGATTGGTCCAGGGCGTTTCCAGGGCAGTGACGTCGCCGGGCAGCGGGAGCCGGGCGGGGTGGAGCCCTGAGTCCGGAGCCCCTCCCCCAGTCGGTGCCCGGTGGCCGGGAGACGGGGACTGGGGCCCCGGGCGGGGGGCGGGCCCAGACTCCGACCTGGAACGCCTCCCGCCCTGCGTGCAGGGTGTTTTTCAAGGTGAAGAGCCGCAGCGCCCACATGAAGAGCCACGCGGAGCAGGAGAAGAAGGCCGCGGCGCTGAGGCAGAAGGAGAAGGAGGCGGCCGCCGCCGCGGCCCTGGCGGCCGCCGCCCACCAGCAGGCCCTGCGGGAGGAGAGCGGGGCTGGCGAGAAGGGCTGAGAGGCGGGGCCGGTTCCGTTCGGTCGGGCTCGGGCCGGCAGCCGGAGGGGCTGCCCCGGCATCCCCGGGGGTGTGGGACGAGAACCACACGGACGTCCCGCCGACGAACCAACCAGACAGTAAAATAAACGGCTCTCTTTGTTGATCAAGGCCCCGGGAGCAGTGTTCACAGGCAGCGGGTGCCAGGGCGCTCGCATTCTGTCCGTCTGCCTGTCTGTCTGCAAGTTGCCCTCGGACCTTTGTGGAAGGCCCTGCGCGGGCCAGACGGCCACCGCTGCCTCTTCCCGGCCTCGGCCTCCAGGCTGTGGCCCCCGAGAGCCAAGCACAAGCTCACCCCATGACAGCATCCCTCCTACTCCCCCCTCCCAAACTCTGGAACAAGGGACTCCCCCGAGAGGGGGCTCGGCCGTGGTACCTGTGGCCCCCAACACAACATCCAGGCCGCCCAAGCTGCTCCAGGGACCCTGTCCTCAGAGAGGCCACCTCCTGGGCAAGGAGGCCACCGGGATGCCACCTGGGAGCCTGAGGACAGGTACCTCTCCCTTTGCTGCTTCCTGGAAAGGGGTGGGGTCGGGCAGGGGACTAGCTTCTCCTGTCCCAGCCCGGCGACTCAGGGCTCAGCCTGCTGGAGGAGGGGAACTGCCCAGGCCGTCACCAAAGGGGTCACCCAGCCCAGATCTCCTGCTTCTTCCTCCTCGCCAAATGCCTTCAGGCCCTGGAGGCTCCAAGGGGCTTAGCCCTGGGGAGGCCCAAAGAGGGGGTCCCCAGCTTGAGCCTCCTTGTGGGGCTCCCAGCCTGCCTCTCAGCCGCTGCTCTGGGTCCCACCCTTTCCAGTGCTGATGCCCCCAGCCCCCCAGTCCCTCACGCTGGAGATTTCTGGATCCTTCCCTGAAAGGGTGTGTGCGTGTGGAGGGAGGGGGCGTTGTCTCCGAACCAGAATGGAAGGGAGTCTTCATTCCTTGACTCCTGTCGTATGGGAGCTATTTATTTATTCTTAATATTTAATTTTTTAACATCCTCTCAGGGACCAGGAGCCTCCTGCTTTCCAGAGGCCCAAGTGCATTTTTCCCAAAACAAGGCACCTCCATGCCCTCCCCCTCACCCCCGCGGCTCTCTCCCCTAAGGCTCAAAGGTGCCCCCACCTGGTTGCTCTGAAAGCTCTTGTTAGCACTGAAAGGAGGTGGCAGCAGGGAGGGCATCACTGGAGCCACCCAGAAACTAGCAGGCGGGGCGACCAAAGGCGGGTTTTGTTAGCTACCTCTCCTCAGGCAGACTTGCACATCACCTGAGGGGCTTGGCTGGGGGCCAGGATCCCAGTTCTGTTTATCAGCTCTGGGCCCTGGCCGCAAGAAGTGGGATTTGCCTCTGAAGCAAAGGGTTGGAAGATTATGGAGTCCTCTGTGCTTGCCAGCCCGAGAAGGGCCGAGTGAGTTTTCTGATCTTGTTATTCCATGTCATTCGTTTAAACGAAGTTCTAACAAGTCAACAAGGTAGCAGGGAGCCAGAAAGCAGTCTCGCCGCTGGAGCTCTGGGGCAGCTGCCAGGCATCAGGTTGGCAGGGAATGGGATTAGGCTTGGCAGGGGCAGGGGATTGAACTATTCACCATCAGGTTTGTTTGTTTTTTTCAGCGTTTGTGTATGCATGAATGTGGCTTGACAGGACCCCAAGTATGGGGGAGCAAGATGATTCTCCCTGTCCAGGACGCCTACCCTGCTCTCTGCCCTCTCAGTTGCTTTCTACATAGCCTTCAGCCAGCTCAGTGTCCCAAGATGGCAGAAATCTGGTTTCTCTCTAGAAGCAGGAGGGTAGCAAATTTAGGCTCTCTTTCAATCACTTGTGTAACATGAGTGCCTTCACAGCTTCGCCCCAAAGTGCTACTTAGATTTCCCAATATATGTATTTTTTGCCTATTTAAACTGTATTTTATTTTAGGCCCCTTTATGGACATGTGGTCACAGAAACCTCCTCCATTCCTGGGAGGCGCTTCTATTCAGTGGTAGGTAGCTTCCAGTACTTGCAAGAAACCTCTTTTAATAAGAAAGTGATTCTCTTCTCCTGAGAGTCTGGAAGCCAGACCAGGTGAATATACATGGGGACAGTCAAGAGAGTGCCCACCTGTATTTCGTCCTCCAGCAGCCTGCCTACCAGATGCCTGGGTCTTAGCTGCAGCTGGGAGATTTAGCTAGAATGCAGTGTGAAAATGAAAATGTTCAGAGGGCAGATGCAATTATGGTAAGGGACCTGCAAAGAAAGTAGGTGCAGGCGTAGAAGCTGGCCTAGGTAGAGATCCTTCATGGTGCTTTTCTCTCTGAACACATCGCGCTCGGCTCTCTCTCCTCCTTTTCCTCAGAGCTCTTTGCTAAGGGAGTTTGATGACAACCCCCACCCCACTCCCAGCCTCCATCTGCACTCAGCTAAGGGCATGAAACTAACCCAGTGCCTGTGTCCCAGACCATGTCCGAAGTCTCGTACCCACCCAGCCAAGGAGATGGTGCTACCTGCACCAGCCTCCATGCCTTCAGCAGCACCCTCCCCACCCCAGCTAAAGTACATGCCTGCCCTTCTGCCGCTGTGCTTAGTGAGGTCCTCCCCTGGCACAGAGGTCGTGTGCTGCTTCTGTCCAAAGGGATCTCCTATTGTAACTGCCTCAGTGACCCAAACTCTTCTCATGTGCCAGATGTTCAGATGAACGAGGGAGGGGTACCACACATCCTCCGGCCTCAGTGGTCTGTGTGCTCACTGGGGCTTACTTTTCTGGGTCGGTATTTATTACCAAATAGGCAAGCCTAACTTCTTAGGTTTACAGAAAGTATACATATTTTTATAAGAAAAAACAACCAATTCTGTGCCCTCCCCACATTTTGCTGTGTTAATAAGATTTGCCTTTAACACAATTCACAGCTGTGTCGTCTTTTCCTCATTAGTCTTTAGGTGGAAGGCCTTGTTGGAGGGGACAGAGCACAGGAACAGCCTTGATATCCTGTAATTATTGTGTAAATATTTTAATAGCATATAAAGAAGTATATTCCTTTTATTTTGAAAAAAAAATCAGACACTGCCTTTGTGTGTTTGCTGCCTGTGGCCCCCTTTTTAAAAGACTGTTACATATTACAATAGTGTACATATATATCTATAAATAATACCTCCTTTGCTGTACAGTTGTGATAGACCAGACTAAAGATTTTATTTTTTGTGTGCTTTTTATAAAAAAGGAAAAATTAATACACTAAAGAAAATCTTGCTGATGTGATTGTAATGTACTTATGTAACTTATTTACTTTCGAATGCCCCTCTATATCTTTAAACCTTTTATTAAATAAGGTTTTAAAAACTCAGAGTTGAATGCTGCCTTCTTTTGGGGTGGAGGAGGACAGGGGTGGTGGTGGTGGGAAGGCTCACCATCCAGGATTGACAGAAGTAGGCCTTGTTTTGTTTACAAAGGATGAATTTCACCAGACAGTTTCGAACCATAAGGATTGTTTCAGCAGCTCGTTGTCCAGGAGGGCAGGACAAGAGGGATAGCAGTAGTGTTGGCCTCGCTACATAGATAATGGAATAGAAATGTGTGACTGATCTTTTAGATACAGATAAATGCAATGGCTCACAAACGCATAAAAAAGGCACACTGCTAACATCGTTTCACTGGGATGAAACACGGAGGAAAGGGCCTAGGGTGGCTGTGGTGCTGGGAAGAACGTTTTCATTCCCAGCCCAGATTGAGTGAGCAGGCAGACAGCTGTGACAGGTGTATTTTTGAAAGTATCCTCCTAAATCCACTCTAGAATTATAAACTTAAAAAAAAGAGAGAGAGTGGTTGTTGGTGCTTAGCAGTATCTTTGTAAAAAAAACAAAAATATATATGTGAAAAAGGAAACGCGCCTTAGGAGAGATCTGGGCCCCATAGCAACGGCTGGACCCCGCTGGTTGCTGAAGTGCGCTGGTTTCGCGTCGCCCAGGACACTGTTGCCATGGCTACGCGTGAGCAGGGGGCGGGGCGGGCCGAAAGCCGCTCGCGGGGCCTGGCGCCGCCTTCCACTGCGGCAGGAACGCCTCGGCTGGGCTCGGCTCGCTGCAGGCAGAACTCGCCGACTGCCTCGGTGGCCAGAGCCGGCTGCCCCCCGGGCACTGCCACCCCGGCCGGTGTCCGTCTGCCCCGCCACAAGCCTTGTCTCCGCGCACTGCCTCCGCTTCCTCCGTCCTAGATCCTCAGCTGTCGCCCCGCGATTGCCCACGCCGCGCAGAGGGGTTTCCGCGCCCGTGAAGAAGCCGCTTGCGAGTTGGTCCGGCCGCCGTCGCCCGCGGCTTTAGGACAGCTTCTTGCTCCGAGGGCGTCGGAGCCCTTGCCCGCGAAACAGCCGCGCTTCGCCAGCTGCGGCCGGGCTCGGACCGCTAGCGCCCGATCGACGCCCAGAGCCAAGCCAGCGACCGGCGCCCACGCCCCAGGACTGCAACTCGGCCGGATCTCCGGGCCGCGGCTCCTGCCTCCGAGACCTGCCTGCCCTCGCCCCTTCCAGCTCTGTGTGCTGCATCGAGACGCCCCGTGTGTCGGCGACAGACCTCCTCGGCCCCGCTCGCACCTGAGACGCAAGATGGCGGCGACCGCGTGACTGAGCATCAACTAGGCATCGCTCCAAGGACGCGCACACGGACTTCGGGGAGTGCTTTGGGAAGCAGGGAGGAAGGGTGAGAGCTGGATCCCGGTGGTGTTTGTGCATTGTGATTGCGTGAAACGTGCTTCCCTCGCGGGTGGGCAAGACTCTGGCATTGTTCTGAGTCCGAGCCGAGGGAGAATCTGTATTTGTAGAATTGGTGCCAATTGAGAGGAGGGAAAATGGCGATGACCCTGTTGGAAGATTGGTGCAGGGGGATGGATGTGAACTCTCAGAGAGCCCTGCTGGTCTGGGGGATCCCAGTGAACTGTGATGAGGCTGAAATCGAAGAGACCCTCCGGGCTGCGATGCCCCAGGTGCCCTATCGAGTGCTTGGGAGAATGTTCTGGAGGGAAGAGAATGCGAAAGCAGCCTTATTAGAGCTCACTGGCGTCGCCGATTACGCCGTCATCCCCAGGGAGATGCCAGGCAAGGGAGGGGTCTGGAAAGTGGTCTTTAAGCCCCCGACTTCCGATGCTGAGTTTTCAGAACGGCTGCACCTTTTTTTAGCTAGAGAGGGTTGGACCGTGCAAGATGTGGCCCGGGTCCTTGGGTTTCAGAACCCAGCGCCGGTCCCAGGCCCCGAAATGCCCGCAGAGATGCTAAACTACATTTTGGATAATGTGATCCAGCCTCTTGTTGAGTCCATTTGGTACAAGAAGCTGACGCTGTTCTCGGGGCGCGACATCCCTGGGCCTGGGGAGGAAACCTTTGATCACTGGCTGGAGCACACGAATGAGGTCATGGAGGAGTGGCAGGTGTCCGACCTCGAAAAGAGGCGGCGGCTGGTGGAGAGCCTTAGGGGCCCCGCCTCCGATGTCATTCGCATCCTCAAGACCAACAACCCTGCCATCACCACCACCGAGTGCCTGAAGGCGCTGGAGCAGGTGTTTGGGAGCATCGAGAGCTCCCGGGATGCCCAGGTCAGGTTTCTGAACACCTATCAGAACCCAGGTGAAAAGCTATCTGCTTATGTCATTCGCCTGGAGCCCCTGCTGCAGAAGGTGGTGGAGAAGGGGGCCATCGATAAAGAGAACGTGAACCAGGCTCGCCTGGAGCAGGTCATTGCGGGGGCCAATCACAGCGGGGCCATCCGGAGGCAGCTGTGGCTGACCGGCGCTGCCGAGGGGCCGGCCCCGAACCTCTTCCAGCTGCTGGTGCAGATCCGTGAGGAGGAGGCCAAGGAGGAAGAGGAGGAGGCTGAGGCCGCCCTCCTGCAGTTAGGCCTGGAGGGGCACTTCTGAGCCTCGGAAACCGGGCCTTTCCTGCTTTCCTGTCTCTGTGCCGCCCGTCATAGGGTCGTCTGTGATTAGGCTTAGTCTGTGGTTTTCAGGGGGGAGTCAGGCCTACTTATTCGTGTAATCTTCGTAAAATCGTGCGAGCCAATCGTGGAACCTGCTCTATTCTCTTAGTGCCCCCACCCCTCCACTGAAACGCTAGGCACCTTTGGGACAAGTGCTCAGTGTAAGGTGTCATCCTAAGTTGTGAAAAAACAGTGAAACTGTGACACCATTGAGATAATTAATAAGAAAATGCATGTTCTGGCATTTAGCACAGGACCTGTTCAGGGGGCATTCTCAGTAAAAATGTGACAATTGTTAGTTTCTGTGTTTACTGTAAATCGTTCCTGGTTTCTATTCATGGGAAGAAATGTGAAGCTATTTGATATTAGTTCACTTGCAGGTGCAAATTTCCCGTTTCTCATCTTTAAACACCTGGATCAGTGTAATTGAAAAAGTATTCTGAGACTACAACATGGAGTATTAGAAAAATACTGTAATTATAGTGTTGTGTAAATCGAGTTTTTCACTGTATAAGATACAGATGGGAATTGCATGGGGAGCCTGATAAGACCCTGTTACAGTAACCCGTTTCCCCATTTCAAATCTTTTGTCATGAATTGTTCTCCTTGTTCATGCCAATTTCAAGTGTTCTAAGTTCGAAGGTATTAAATAGATGTATACTAATAAAAGCATTTCAAAAAGTCTTAGTCTTCTAGTTTTATATTTTTCTTGTAAATATTTTCCATGTAATTAAGCTCTCTATATCTTTTGTATTTTTTTAAGATTTTCCCATCTTGCTAAAAGAAAAACCAAACCACTTATCTTTTTATTCTTTACACCAAATTATGGATTTATATTATAATTACATATTCCAGTTTTACATGTTTCCTCAAGGCAAATACTAGAAGATAACAAACATGATAGGCACTACAAAATTTTAGGAAATGTTACAATGGGTCATTTAGGACAAGGCCTGTGATCCTTTTAAAAAATCTGCTTTTAGTTAAATGCTTTTTTTCCCTGAAGAAATAACTGACTCATTACACCTGTGTGAAATGGTTTCCGTTTGCTGGCAGCCATTTTAAACCGGGAGCTTAAAGGAAAATAAGGCCCGGAAACATGTTTATTTGGCTGCAGAGACTCAGTGAGTTCCATCTAGTTAAATTCGTAGAAAACCCAAAGTTCGTGAGAATTAAGTGGGTTCTGTCCCCTCCTAATAGCAAGGTTTTAGATTCTAGCAAATTCACACCACAAAGCGCAAGCTTTATATATAAGGTCAAATATATGTGGTCTTCCAGATTATTCTGTTTACTCACGCATGTCCTCACTTCTGTACCATGACGTAGGTACTGCCTCACCATACCTCGACAAACACTTGGCGTATCTCCACCCACACTAGCTGTACATAACCCGCCACCCACTGGCATGCAATCACACCCTTCCCACTTCAACCATCACACTCCCTCTCACCGCCCCCACCCCCCAGCACTCCCATCATAAACACATGCCTACTCCCACTGCGCTCCTACGCTGTGCCACATGTAGCACACACAAGGCTCTGTCTCTACCCTACACTCCCACTCACCCCCACCACAAATGTGTACACACTTCAGTCTCACCACTGACATACCAACCAGCCACAGTGCATGTCCACAAATGGACACGTTCTTAAAAACAGGTTAATTTTTTCCACCCATTGTAGGTATCCTTCCATCTCAATGTGTAGGGTTATACTTTATAGGAACAACTACTTGCCCTCGAATGTCATACAACTTTGTCCTCACTTTGAAAATGATTGAGGCAATTCCTACTCACAAATTCTCCCAGCACAAGTACCTTCACTTGCTGCAGATGCAGTTTTTAAGTCATTGCAAAGGCTTTCAGCATTTTCTTGAA